AAGTCCTGCTCAGTGTTGCTCCCCTCCTCCTCACCCTTGTTTGTGTAAAGGACCCCTGCACTGGCTGCTTGCCCTCGGCCTGCCTCAGCCCAAGTGTTCCTTTCCCGTCCTCTGTCCTGAAACCGCCCGCCTTCTTCTTACACTGTCTCCCTTGTGTGTTACTTTGTGTGATTCATTTCTTAATAAGAATATTCTGCTTTCTGAACTCTTTTATCTATTGTGACCATAAATCAAAATTAAGGATTGGGGAAGGGCCTTGGAAGATGAGCTGGTTAAGAATGACTATTAATACTGTTTAATGAATCAGTCTAACTGTTTTTAAATAGTGGGGGTTTTTCATAAATGGATTTTTTTTTACATTTGTGTGTGTTGCACATATGTATGGAGTATGCACATTGTGTATGTTGAGGTCAGAAGACAGCTTGCAGGGAAATGAGTCTCATCTTCCACCATGTGAGTTCTAGGGATTGAACTTCAGTCATTAGGCTTGATGGAGAGCTCCTTTACCTGCTGAGACATTTGACCTATCCCAATAGCAATTTTTTTTATTCTTTCTTAGGCGCCGAGGTGGGAAGTATGCAGTGGGATCAGCTTGCATCGGAGGTGGTCAAGGCATTGCCCTGATCATTCAGAACACAGCCTGAAGAGATCACAAGCACAGTGCCCACCCTTACTTGGCCAGGCCACAGAACAGGTGGCCAGGTGACCTTCGGGGCAGCACTACTGAGACAGTGAATGCATTTGGCCGAGCCTTGAGGAGGCGAAATGCAGTAGGTTCTGCCCACTTCCTACCTGCCTAACATGCTGCGTTAGAATCAGAACCCAACCGCCGAAGGCCTTAAAAGAAATGGTGTCTTTGTCAATAGCCACCACTGTATGCCTTATATAATACAACTACAAACTGAATAAACGTTGTCTTAACTTCAGCTAATCTTTCCTTGTTGTGTTTTTTAATTACATAAGATGTCTCGTTTTTTATCCATTTTTAAGTGTGCAGTTCAGTGGCATGGAGGACATTCACAACATTGTGTAAATAGCATCCCCACCCATCTTCAGAACCCTTTCTTCTTGGACAGCGGAAACAGCTTCCTTTTTAAAATGTATTTTTTTATTTTATTTTTTATAATTTATTTTTAATTTTATTTGAATTGGTGCTTTTGCCTGCATGTATGTCTATGTGAAGGTGTCAGATCTTGGAGTTACAGACAGTTGTGAGCTGCCATGTGGGTGCTGGGAATTGAACCTGTGTCCTCTGGAAGAGCAGTCAGTGCGCTTAACGGCTGAGCCATCTCTCCAGCCCCTAAAATGTATTTTTGTGTGTGTGTGTGTGTGTGTGTGTGTGTGTGTGTGTGTGTGTGTGTGTGCATGTGCCCACGCAGACCAAAAGAGAGCCTCGGGTCTCCTGGAGCTGAAGGCACAGGCAGTTGTGAGTTGCCCAGTGTGGGACCTAGGAACAGGACGCTAGTCCTCTCAAAGGGCAGCAGCTGCTCCTAACCACCAAGACTCCTCTCAGCCCCTGTTCCCATTTTAAAGAACGACTCTCGATTCCCCTCTCACTACCCCTGGCAGCCACCATTCCACTTTCTATCTCTGTATTTCACTGCTCTGGGAACCTCATGTGCGTGAACTCGGTGCTGGTCCTTTTGTGACTGTCTTATTTCAGTTAGCATAACACCCTCAAGATTCACCCCTAGCCGGGCGGTGGTGGTGCGCGCCTTTAATCCCAGCACT